TTCTTTTTTTTAATGGAAGAAACTAAAAGATTAAAGATACGTAAACTTGATTTAGAGCCTGTGCTCTGATACCAAATTGATACAAACTATGCCAACCTGTGACGAAACCCGTAAACAACACAAGGCACCAAGACCGTTTCTAAAATAAGTTCGAGAAGATGGAATCGCGACCCCATTACCTATGATGAGGTAAGAACCTTGGTATGGAAAAGATGCCACAATCAACTATGGAAGGGTTGATAGATAAGTCAAGGATGAACGCCATGGATAATTTCGATAAGTTTGAAAAGTTGTTCAAAGAACCAGAGAGAATTCGTTCTCATAATGTTGATGAATAATGATCTATTTTACAATTAGGGTTACAGCCCTATAAATAGTTAAAACTAATCCTAATTAGAATAGGAAACTAACAAACCAAGTCCTAACCCTAATAACCACGTATTTGGGCTTCAACTAAATAAATGTTTAGCCCAAATAACACAACAAACGTAAATATAAGATAAAATAACCTAAGAACATTGTGAAATATTAGTTTGCAGCCAACTGCGGCAGATTTGACGCAAACTATGTAATTCAACCCAAGAAAGAAAAACTTGGCATGCAAGCCAAAACCCAAAAGGAAAGTAATAAATTTGAGCTAGAATGATTGCTGAGTTCATGCCCAAAGTTCATGACCATTACTTGCAAAGATTAGGCTTGGCTTTGAAAGAGTCTTCTAGAACTTGGATTAGGTTGATGTAATTCTAAGGCTCACATGGACTTCCCTCAACGGGCCTCCATGAATTTGCTTGAGTCCATATTTCTTGAATCAGCCCGTTAAGTGCTTCCTTGAACTTCTTAGCTTAAGCCCTCGTAACCGGTCTAATGAGAACTTGAATTGAATCCTTTAAAGTCAAACCTGAATTTACATAAAAAACGGTTTGACCTCTGGGTCAAATTTCAAAACACTGTACATAAATAATGAAAATAATGTAAAATCCAATAAAATCTTGTCAAATCCATTCAAATATTAATAAAAAAAAAAGCTAATTAGCATCATACTATGTGCAAAAATTCAACCTATAAAGTATTATAGAAGAAGTTGTTAAATTTTGTATTGAAGTTCTGCTAAGACTTTTGTTGGGTTGTTAATACTAAATATCCTATTAGAAAGAGAAAAAAAAATAAAAAAAGAGAACTATAATGAGGATTATGATAGCAATAATTCAAGACAACTTTTGAAGGAGTGTATAAGGGGTACTCTAATCCTTTAGGAGTTAAGCCACTCATCTTTTGGTGTAAAACATTTTTAATATAGACAATGGGAGATAAAAGAAAACTAGTGTAAAAGGAGATATATAATGATAAATGGAGATGCAACGAATAATTAAGAAAAACAGAAACGAAAAGATAATATATATTAAAGAATAATAACAAATAAATTATTAAAATTGAGGGAGAAAATAAACATAAATGTAGGGTAAAAAAATAAATATAATGATAAATTATTGATTGGAAACCTAAGAGATAAAATCACAATAATAATAATAATAATAATTTGAAAAGTGGAGTAAAAGTAATTGAAAATTTGTACTAAGAGAATAGTACCAAGAAGTTGCACTTTTATATTTTAATATAATACTTTTTTAATAAAGACTTGTAAAAATTGAAAAAAAAAGGGTAAAAATATATATTTAATGATATATAGAGATCCAAATATTGTTTAAGAAATAATGATAGAAATGTAAGTATCATGAAAGAAATAATAATATATAAGGAAAATATATAAATATATTGATATTAAATGTTAAGGAAGAGGATGAAAGATGGTGTTCAACAAAAATTATTGAGAGATGAAACAAGTGACTAAGAAAGAACAATTTAGATGGAAAGATAAGGGATTTAAAATAATAATAACAAATAAATTATAAATATAAAGAGAAAAAGTAAAGGCGAATGTAAACAAATAAATATAATAATAAAATCTGAATGATAAGCTAAGAGATTAAATCTTATGAAAAGTAATGAAGGTGGAGTAAAGACAAGTAAAAATTTAATAAAATAATAATACTAAAAAGCTCTACCTTTTATGTTTAAACATAAAACATTTTAGATTAAATGCTAAATTTGGTCCCTCAACTTTAGTGAGTTGCACATTTTTGGTCCCTCAATAATTTTTTGCACTTTTTTGATCCCTCAACTATAAGAAATGCACTCCGTTAGTCCTTCTGTCAATTTAGACCGTTAACTATGACACGTGGCATTTTTTATAATTTTTTTGATGACATGGCAGAAACAATTTAAAAAAATGCTGATTTGGAATTTTTTTTAAGACACGTCATCGCCAACTCATAAATCGATTTTACCTTAATAAAAAAATATAAAATTACAAATTTACCCATCTCCTTTTCTTCATCCATCTTCTTCCCCTCTTTCAATCATCTTCTTCCCTTTTTTTTTCTTTTTCTTTCTTCCTCTTCTTTCTTCTTCTTCCTCTGTCTGCTGGGTTCGGTGGAACCCAGTTCGGTGGAACCCAGCAACTGGGTTCGAGGAACCCAGCAACTAACCCAGCTCGGGTTCTCGGGTTCTCGGGTTCGATGAACCCAGTTTGCTGGGTTCCTCGAACCCAGCTCGAACCCAGCAAATTGGGTTCCTCGAACTCAGCTCCAATTTTTTGTTTTTTTTTTTATATGATTGTTTGCGAAAATTATCCAAGTTGCAGGTTGTGTGGGATTTTTGGATCTTTTTCTTCATATTTTTTTAAGTATTGTTTAGAAGATTTCAATGTTCAAAATGGAAAGAACAGAAGCAGTTGGGCAAAGGTGGGTTTCCATTTGTTTGGCTGGAAAATGGTATGGTTTGGGTGTTTGGATGCTGAGAAAATGCTTTAAATTTGTTTGGTTGCCGAGATTGGTTAACGATAATCTATAATGTCCGTTAAAAAGAAAGAAAATTTGATGAAAACATTGTGATTTAATTATAAATTAATTTAGAATTTTAATTTTAATTAATATAAATAATTATAATTTAATGATGATTAATTAATAAAATTTGATTTGATATTATTTTTTATTCAGGTAAATATTTAATTTAATTTGTTATATTATTAAAAAAAATATTTAAAATATCATTTAATTTTTTATGTCATCAAAAGATATTTTTTTTTATTAGTATGTGGGACCCATTTGAGTAGATTTGATGTCATATCATCAAAAAAACAAATTTTTTTATTAGTGATGTAGGATCCATTTGAATGGATTTAGCACATAGTAACATGACATGTCAAAATAATTGTCCATGTCATCACTTTGCTAAATTTTGCTCTCCACATCATCAAAAGAAATATAAAAAATGCCACATAAGCGAACTTAACGGCTCTAATTAACAGAATGACTAACAGAGTGCATTTTGTATAGTTAAGGGATAAAAAAAGTGCAAAAAATTGTTGAGGGATCAAAAATGTGCATTTCATAAAGTTAAGGGACCAAATTAAGCATTTAACCATAATTAATTAAGCTGGGTTGAATAGGGTTTATTGCAAGAGAAGAAGATTCCCGTGGTTCCATAGAGCGAAAAACAATTTTTTGTGAAAGAAAAAATTGCAACCATCCTCTTAATAAAGAATATTCCTCGAACT